ATCTCAGTTTTAGAAAAATTATTATTTTATACAGATTATACTTTTAGCATGTGTGTCGGCCGTTTAATCGTAGTTCGTTCATATTATGATAACATTGTTAGTATTTACTTGTATTATTAATATTCGTATAATATTCGATCAGGTTTGCAAAAACGTTAGCGTAATTTTAAATCTTATTAACAAAATGACATCGCTGATTTTAAGCGAAAAAAAAATTAAATTTGTTTAGATAGATACAAATTTTGTTATCAATAAACGTTAAAGAATGCTATTCAACCTTGAAATAATTGCTGTAGGAAAACGTCATTTACATATTAACGCAACAAAATGATAAAAATGACATTATTGATTATAGAACGTGCAAATGATCATAATCATATTAAAGATTTTGCTAAATTATTCAATAACTAAAAACTGATTAATAATTTAAAATGTAATAATTTAAATTTTTAACTGCATAGCAATGACCAAAATCAATATTTTTGGCCTATAAATAGTAAAATCGCTGTTGACAGTCCTAATAAGTATGTATAAAATGGGAAAGAAAATAATGTTTTACGTTAGAATGCAATTCGTATAGTACTTAAATATTATCGGGTCGCAATTCATATGAAAAAGGGATATTGGGATGCATATTGTTTACTGTTGAAATTTGAAGTGGTACATACTTATATCGTGAACACACAGTACATGATAAGGATCACCCTATTGTACATATCATAAAGTATTGTTTTCAACGCATCTGAATATTAAAAAGAAAAAAAATAAATAAAAAAATAAACCAACAATCATTTGACATTTTTTTTAAGTGGGCGGTTAAACAAGATTTAAGTGGACATGACGTTTTTAAGCGATTTATAGTAGGTAATAACTGTACAGAGTTTTCTATGTGAAGTAGGTTACGGTTATTAACGACTACTTGATATTATTTTTAAATTCGTCTAGAACATGTTCAATGATGATGATTTTGGTAGCGCGTGCTGTAGTTATAATTGCGTTTCCTTTCGTATATTTTTTTTTTAGTAGGCGGGTGTAGAGATAAATATTTTATTGTATTTTTTTTTTTTAACTTAACAATAGTTCAATAAATGTACTGCAGTAGGTATTTGCTTTGGAAGTCTCCCCACGTGTTTGCTGGTATAATATTATAATATTAAGTATACAATATATACGCATCTGGTCTAATTTAATTCAATTATTATATATGGAAGGAAACTCGATTGAAAATCGTATCGTGATCCCGATAATATTAACTTTGAATCCTTTATCCGTTTGGATTGTCCTCTGAATATAATAAGGGGTGTTGTCCAGGCAGCGTTGAATCCAGACAATGATTCTGGGAGGGGGGTTACTAAAACTATAGTAATGGATTTTTTTTTTACCCACCTACCCTATTACTGAAACCAGTCAAATATTTTACTATTTAATTAACTATTAGTTTCCCCACATATAACAAGGGTAAATATTAATTTCAGGGAGGGAACTATCGCCCACTGTCATATTAGACACATTTATTTCTTCAGATATTTTTCAATACTTTATTGTAAAGGGATTCATTTATGTGCATTTAATTCGTGAATCACTTCTGATTGGTATGGTTATTAAAATGATTATTAACGAAAATCTAAAACTACGAGAAAAACAAAATATTCAATAACGTACAAATCTGTCCTTCGATTATTTAATCAATAAATAGAACTTATTAGCTGTCACAATTACCTTATAGGTAAGTGATTTGAATTTTATAATATAAAATTATAATATTATTTGAAACGTATTGATATACTTAATTTTGGAAAGCTATAATAATTGTGTAATATTATAAATAAAATAACCCATGACACTGTCTATCACATGCCTACTTAGCCTATACGTTAATCCGGTCCTAAGGTTTTCCGTTCAAAATAAAAGAAGTCGCCAGTTTTCAGTTTTTAGCTGCACAGTGTTATAATTCTAAAATCACTGCGAATGTTCGTCTCTAAAAACGTAACATATAATGATGTTTTTTGTAAATTTATGTTCGTGGTTGTACAGTGTTCCGTGTACGTTAACAAACTATTTTTGAATTTTAGCGTTATTTATTATTTGAATGTATTATTATATTTAATGATAACAGTAGAGAAACTAACAGAATTCGTTGCGTTATTTATATTGTTATTATAATATTCAGACGTTGTTCGGTGCGACGACGGCCGCGACAAGACGAACACGCTCAATGTTTCGTATATATATTTTTTTTAATTTTATTATTTATACCAAGAGGAAAAAACTACATTTTGATTTTACATTTATACTATCTCTCGCGAACGATATGGGTTTACGTGAGGTTAAAAAAAAAAAACCTTAACAAAAATCTCAAAATACTATTGTTTGCTTATTGTATTGTAAGTGCATTGCTGTGGTTTTTTCGGATATTTGTTTATACAATTTATTGGTGATACCCGATTGAACACAGTCGTTATTGGCCAACCTTTTTGACGATCCAATTGAGCACGATGAAATAAATAAATATTATGTACATTGTTGTCAAGTTTTTATTAGTACGTATGTTGTGTAGATTACTAATATGTAACTAACATATTAGTCAAAAAAGAATTTGCTATCGATCGATAGGTACCCACGGAAGTTGATTATAACTGGGATAGATAGGAAACCGGAGTTTGATCTATAATGATTGCACTAATTTGTGATTAGCTGTTATTGTATGTAGGTACCTACGCTGTAAATAAGACTTGGTCACAGTCAGTCTGTTGTCTCGTACTCGTGTTCCTTCAAAAATAGTGAATATTTTGCAAGTTTTACGATTTTTACGATAGAAAATAATGAAATAAAAATTATTTTATTCGAGAGAGGCAGAGTTGGTAAATTTTGGAGCTTTAAAGTACAGGTTTATTGGATCAAAAAAAAAAGTGAATTGTTGAAATGACGATGTACAATAAATGATGGTATATCAACCTTTTTAAATTAATTTTGTTCATATATACGAAGTGTGGCTATTAAATAATGAGACTGCTCGCCTAGAGGGCGCCCTAGATGGGTAGTAAAAAAAAAAGAGTAATGCGTTGGGTATCTAGATATCATATCTATGCACATACCAAAACACGTTTTCGTCACTATTATAGTATTTGTGCAGTAGTGATTTGAAACGAACGTGTTTTTTTCTCGTGCCGAAAACCATGTGTGACGAAAAACATGAGCAACGGATAAACGTAAAATTTTCTCATTAAACTAAAAAAAATACCAACTGAGTGCTATAAGTTGTTAAAAGAGGCCTATAGTGAGGATTTCCTATCTCGGGCGCGTGTTTTTGAGTGGCATAAATTATTTTCTGAAGGTCGAGAGTGCACCGGAATCCAATTCAGTCGTAATCCAAATTCAAAACCGTTTTCTTCGATATCAACGGCATCGTGATGACTGAATGGGTTCCAGAGGGTCAAACTGTGAACCAACATTACTATTTAACAGTTTTGGTAACATTGCGCGAATGAGTTCGTAAGAAACGGTCGATATTGTGTAAAAACAAGTCGTGGATCTTGCACCAGGATAAAGCGTGAAGCGTTATTTGGCCGCTTAAGGCACTCCAGTACTCGAACACGCGTCTTACTCNACCCTGCGACTTTTACTTGTTTCTGAAGATAAAGTCTGCCTTAAAAGGAATCCGGTTTGAGTCGATGGAAGAGGTGAAACAAAACTCGGCGGAACTCCTGAATGGTCTTACGAAAACAGACTTCCAGCATTGCCTCGAGCAATGGAAGAAACAAATGAAATGGTGTATGGTGAGGGGAGGGAAGTATATTGAAGGGGAGCATTTGAATGTAGAATAACTTTTATAATAAAACACTTTTTCGTAATCAGTCTCGTTTTTTAATAGCCACACCTCGTATCTTCGTCTTTAGGTTCCAAAGCATCTATTGTTGCAAAACTAACTTTTTTTCATCTCTCTCTTTCTCGAGCTACTTCACTAAGATTATCTATACTTAGTTGGTTTAGTTTTATTTACATTTGGTCATTCTATATTTTTTTTGGCTTTCCTCTTCGGTTTGTTTCACCGAGGGGTCTAGTTAGTGTATGATTTCCATATGGTTATAATTCCTTATAACGTGATCCAACCAGTTCAGTCTTTTGTACCATGTTTCAACTAGTATCTTTTGCTTGGCTTTCAAATTAATTTCCGTGTTCTTGTACACGTGTAGTATGTTGATTTTTAAAAAAAAGTCGATTATGTCTTAAGTTTTCTGTAGTCACTTAATTAATTTATCAGACAGTTTTATTAAACATAATTTTCTGAAAAAAAAAAAATAAATAAAATATCAATTTATCATTTATACTTTAAATTGTTAAATTTTAATGTAATAAATTAATACTATTAAAACTATTTACCAATATTATAGTTATTTTCGATATTTTTCAAACGTATTTACGTAATAAATTATCAATAATTTAAACAATATTAAAATCAACGGCCTTATCAGTTCAGGATGTGGACGAGCGGTCTAACGCGTTAGGAATGGCACGAGCTGTTCTGCGAAGACTCAGGTCAAGTCCTAGTNTCGTGCCGAAAACCATGTGTGACGAAAAACATGAGCAACGGATAAACGTAAAATTTTCTCGTTAAACTAAAAAAAACTCCAACTGAGTGCTATAAGTTGTTAAAAGAATCCTATAGTGAGGATTTCCTATCTCGGGCGCGTGTTTTTGAGTGGCATAAATTATTTTCTGAAGGTCGAAAGTGCACCGGAATCTAATTCAGTCGTAATCCAAATTAAAAACCGTTTTCTTCGATATCAACGGCATCGTGATGACTGAATGGGTTCAGAGGGTCAAACTGTGAACCAACATTACTATTTAACAGTTTTGGCAACATTGCGCGAATGAGTTCGTAAGAAACGGTCGATATTGTGTAAAAACAAGTCGTGGATCTTGCACCAGGATAAAGCGTGAAGCGTTATTTGGCCGCTTAAGGCACTCCAGTACTTGAACACGCATCTTACTCACCCGAAATGGCACCTTGCGACTTTTACTTGTTTCTGAAGATAAAGTCTGCCTTAAAAGGAATCCGGTTTGAGTCGATGGAAGAGGTGAAACAAAAATCGGCGGAACTCCTGAATGGTCTTACGAAAACAGACTTCCAGCACTGCCTCGAGCAATGGAAGAAACGAATGAAACGGTGTGTGGCGAGGGGAGGGGAGTATATTGAAGGGGAGCATTTGAATGTAGAATAACTTTTATAATAAAACACTTTTTCGTAACCAGTCTCGTTATTTAATAGCCACACCTCGTAT